GGGCCGCGGGGACACTAAAAAGCCCCGAAATCATCTCAAGATAACCTCAAGATAACGGGTCCTGGGCACTTATTGGATTCTCTCATTTTGACATTTGTTTGGTAACTTCCTTCCTGGTAAGCAGCGAACAAGTGAACTTGTTAAAATATCAGGCTAACGTTTAGTAGAGAGAACAACAAAGCTCTTTGGAATATACCAGCAACCCATTTTTTAATTATCAGTTACTTCTCTCTATTTCAGTGAACCTGGCAGCATTTAGGGGGTCACCAGGTACTGGCAGCAGTGAAAGGTGTATACTCACCAGGTACTGTCAGCTGTGAAAGGTGTATACTCACCAGGTACTGGCAGCAGTGAAAGGTGTATACTCACCAGGTACTGGCAGCAGTGAAAGGTGTATACTCACCAGGTACTGGCAGCAGTGAAAGGTGTATACTCACCAGGTACTGGCAGCAGTGAAAGGTGTATACTCACCAGGTACTGGCAGCTGTGAAAGGTGTATACTCACCAGGTACTGGCAGCAGTGAAAGGTGTATACTCACCAGGTACTGGCAGCAGTGAAAGGTGTATACTCACCAGGTACTGGCAGCAGTGAAAGGTGTATACTCACCAGGTACTGGCAGCAGTGAAAGGTGTATACTCACCAGGTACTGGCAGCAGTGAAAGGTGTATACTCACCAGGTACTGGCAGCAGTGAAAGGTGTATACTCACCAGGTACTGGCAGCAGTGAAAGGTGTATACTCACCAGGTACTGGCAGCAGTGAAAGGTGTATACTCACCAGGTACTCGCAACAGTGAAGGGCATATATCCACCTAGAGAAAAGCAGTGCGTCAAGTGTAACAATAGATTACAACACGGGCGAGACAAAGGTCGTGACTGGAGACGACCTCATTATAATATGCTCATATTATAATGTGCTCATTATAACCTCATTATAATGTGCTCATTATAACCTCATTATAATGTGCTCTGGGGAGACTATAAGACAATAGTCCCCCACAAAGTGAAGCCAAATACACAGGCCTGGAGGACGACTCGGAGGACGACCCGAAGGACGACCCCGGCCCCTATTGTTTCACAGAGTTCGATTCCAGCCTTGCTCGCTCACTTCACATACAACGCATCGACAAATAGCAACTTCACAACGTACTCTTACCGTTGCTAGCGTTGTTGCAGCGTTGTTACAGCGTTGTTACAGCGTTGTTACAGCGTTGTTACAGCGTTGTTACAGGGACGCTAACGTTGTTTGCTGGGAGTGTCTCCTTTCCACTGTAAATCACCTTCCTTGTAAACCAGAATTCAGTGAATACTCAGTCACATAATTGAGTCAGAATTTAGGAAGTAAACTTTTGACTCCTGTTAGTAGACTGAGATTTTCTAAGGTCATATAGCTTATGGTAAACTTTTTCATACTAGTTTTCCTTGGAACACGACCACCCGATAATTGGTTTACAACCAGCCCTCTCCCCCCCCCCCCGGGTTACTGCTGGGTAAGTAGAGGCTAACAGTTAAGGCCTAGTGACCATTACTGTAGATAAGGCTTACCCTACAAGCATTTCCCTTGAACACGACTCTCCGATCAGGTTTACAACCACGTTTCCAAATGCTGCTGGAGGAACAGAGTAATGAGGTGAAAGGGAACGGGGCTCAAATTGTTTCTGTCCTGGCCGGGGAGTGAACCCGGGTTTCTGGAGTGCGATTCGAGGACGTTCGCCATTAGACCATAACATCCTCCCCCCCCCCTCTCTCTCTCTCTCTCTCTCTCTCTCTCTCTCTCTCTCTCTCTCTCTCTCTCTCTCTCTCTCTCTCTCTCTCTCTCTCTCTCTCTCACTCGTGGTGCAGATAGCTTGCAAGGAGCCGAATTAAAATCTTTTTAGTTTAAACTCTGGCTGGACCTCTTGAGTCCATGGAATATCGTGTGTGCAGCATTCCTGTTCGAGCTTCGCCTTTACCGTTCCGTTACGGTGACAGGACTCTGAGATGAGAAGATTGCAGCCAGAGTATGTCTGAGGGGCAAGATACGCTGGTCCATTTATCACTCCGGATTTGTCATTTATCACAGCAACAGGAATGGGGGGATTAAATGCTAATCGGAAAATAATTAATTCATTTGGATTAGTTTCTGTTGGTAACGAAGGTGATGAACGGCACACACACACACACACACACACACACACACACACACACACACACACACACACACACACACACACACACACACACACACACACATACACACATACTATGCTACTAGACTAGTCCCAGAACTAAGAGGCATGAGTTATGAGGAAAGGCTGCGGGAAATGCACCTTACGACACTGGAAGACAGAAGAGTAAGGGGGGACATGATCACAACCTACAAAATCCTCAGGGGAATCGACCGGGTAAACAAGGATGAACTATTCAACACTGGAGGGACGCGAACAAGGGGACACAGGTGGAAGTTGAGTACCCAAATGAGCCACAGAGACATTAGAAAGAACTTTTTCAGTGTCAGAGTAGTTAGTAAATGGAATGCACTAGGAAGTGATGTGGTGGAGGCTGACTCCATACACAGTTTCAAATGTAAATATGATAGAGCCCAGTAGGCTCAGGAATCTGTACACCAGTTGATTGACGGTTGAGAGGCGGGACCAAAGAGCCAGAGCTCAACCCCCGCATGCACAAATAGGTGAGCACAATTAGGTGAGTACACACACACACACACACACACACACACACACACACACACACACACACACACACACACACACACACACACACACACTCTCTCTCTCTCTCTCTCTCTCTCTCTCTCTCTCTCTCTCTCTCTCTCTCCTCTCAGTGTGTGTGTGTGGCAGCATGTGGTCCTGCCTCACCATGGTTGCGGACTATGAAGCACTAACGAGGCCCTTGAGGACCTGGGGCACCCTGGCGGTGGTTACACCTGCCTCCTGTCAAGACGAGCGTCATTGTAATGAGCTAGAGAACGGTAATGAAACATCTTGTGACGATGCGTGAATCCCGGGAGACAAAGGCTTGTTTTAAGGAAATAAACAAGATCTGAGAGTACACTAATACCAAGGCAGAGGCTGGTGTAGTGGCTTCAGAAGCCTGACCAAGGAAACTATGACGTGATGCACCAGCTGTACTGTTGCAGCACTGGAATATGAAGCCAGGTTGAGGAACTAAATACTGGTTAAAGGTTTCAGTTTCAGTCTCTTGAACTTTAGACGACTGATGATGATCTGATGAAAAGCTGAGGGGTTCAAAGCTCCCTACATTATAAATTAAAAGAGGTGACATGATCACGACATACAAGATTCACGAATGTATTTTGATTGTGGATCAGGGTCTCCAGCAAGGTCAAGTTCTCCCCCTCACCCACAGTGCAGGGACCGGAGGAATTAAACGAGTCGACTCATTCATAGTTTAACGCTATGTATTAAACGCAGCTGTTTGAAATATTATCGAGAGCCATTTATTTTCCTCCCCCCCCCCCCTTCTCAAGGCTGAACCTGGGATATTTGCATTGTGATAACCGGTTCACAAGGTCAAGATAACGTTGACCAGTGTGTGTGTGTGTGTGTGTGTGTGTGTGTGTGTGTGTGTGTGTGTATGTGTGTGTGTGTGTGTGTGTGTGTGTGTGTGTGTGTGTGTGTGTGTGTGTATGTGTGTGTGTGTGTGTGTGTGTGTGTGTGTGTGTGTGTGTGTGTGTGTGTGTGTGTATGTGTGTGTGTATGTGTGTGTGTGTGTATGTGTGTGTATGTGTGTGTGTGTGTGTGTGTGTATGTGTGTGTATGTGTGTGTGTGTGTGTGTGTGTGTGTGTGTGTGTGTGTGTGTGTGTGTGTGTGTGTGTGTGTGTGTGTGTGTGTGTGTGTGTGTGTGTGTGTGTGTGTGTGTGTGTGTGTGTGTGTGGTGTGTGTGTGTGTGTGTGTGTGTGTGTGTGTGTATGTGTGTGTATGTGTGTGTATGTGTGTGTGTGTGTGTGTGTGTGTGTGTGTGTGTGTGTGTGTATGTGTGTGTGTGTGTGTGTATGTGTGTGTATGTGTGTGTGTGTGTGTGTATGTGTGTGTGTGTGTGTGTGTATGTGTGTGTGTGTGTGTGTGTGTGTGTGTGTGTGTATATGTGTGTGTATGTGTGTGTGTGTGTGTGTGTGTGTGTGTGTGTGTGTGTGTGTGTGTGTGTGTGTGTGTGTGTATGTGTGTGTGTGTGTGTGTATGTGTGTGTATGTGTGTGTGTGTGTGTGTGTATGTGTGTGTGTGTGTGTGTATGTGTGTGTGTGTGTGTGTGTGTGTGTGTGTGTGTATATGTGTGTGTATGTGTGTGTGTGTGTGTGTGTGTGTGTGTGTGTGTGTGTGTGTGTGTGTGTGTGTGTGTGTGTGTGTGTGTGTGTGTGTGTGTGTGTGTGTGTGTGTGTGTGTGTGTGTGTGTGTGTGAAACCAGGCCAGACTTATCTTGACCTCTCCCGGGTCATTACTATTTGTTGTTTAAGATTCAGCTACTTGGAACAAGAGTAGCTTTTGAACGAAAGTTAAACTCATTTTGTTGTAAAGTCGACAGAAAACTCTAAACCTAACCCCCCCCCCCCTAACGGTAAGTGTTTTAAAGCAAACTTTCTTTCCCTCTTTGTTGAACCAATTGTTTACTAGGCGATGAATCCTCACGTTTGTATGAGGACGGATGCAGGAGGCAAACAATGTCTGCCCTCATTCCTGTGAGGTACACGAAGACGTGTAGTGGCTGAGAGAACAGCAACAGCTGGCTGGAACACACGGGGAGTGACCGCGTCGAACCACAAAGTCACGACCACTTCCAAATCAACGTCCACCATATTATTACTGTTATCACTAGTTCGTGATGATAGAAGAGAGACGCGATAGCGATAACTGAATAATCTTGTTTTGGTTAAGATAATTATTCTCTAGATGGGAAGGGACGCTATCTACTAGTTATCTCGTGCATGGGAGGTTATCTTGAGATGATTTCGGGGGCTTTTATAGTGTCCCCGCGGCCCGGTCCTCGACCACACCTCCACCCCCCAGGAAGCAGCCCGTGACAGCTAGCTAACTCCCAGGTATCTATTTACTGCTAAGTAAGAGGGGCATCAGGGTGAAAGAAACTGTACCCATTGTAGTCAGAATTTTGCGTTTTAAGTTAAAAAAATCAAAACAACGAAGCACAATCAAGATATTGTGCAATTGTCGTGCAGCTGGACGCCAGCTGACGTGCACGATAATTACCCGCGGCGCTCGGGAGCTTGCATGAAGGTGTGTGATTGTGTACGACAGCAAACCCTCACTTTTCCTGTTCGTTAGCATGTCGACGGTGTTTCCACGGCGTTGTTACCTTACGTGTTTGTGGTGTAACGGTGTACACGGTCGTTATGAGTTGGAGGGGGGGGGGGAGGGGTGTGGATGTGATGAGTTGGGGGGTGTGGGGGCTGTGATGAGGTCGGGGGGGGGGGCGGGGATATAAGGGGTCTCGATACACTCATCTCCTGGCATTACGTCACTACCAAGGGATTCACAGTCTGATTCTGTTGTAACGGAAGTGTTAGGACGGGGGGGGGGAGGGGGGAGGGAGGAGTGTTCAGTGCTACCACAGTCACGGACTACAGTCCCCCCTCACCCCCTCCCCACCCCCCTTTTCCCCCTCGTAGACCGTGCCGTCTACAGTCTAGGTTACAGTCACGTATAACCTTTGTTGACATATCAGTGTTACTGAAGAGTCCGTTATGTAGTCACTCTTTTCCCCTGTAATTGTCAGGGGACTTTCTCCACTACCACCTGCACCCCAGACACCACCTGCACACCCTCAGAGACCACCTGCACACCCTCAGAGACCACCTGCACACCCTCAGAGACCACCTGCACACCCTCAGAGACCACCTGCACCCCCTCAGACACCACCTGCACACCGTCAGAGACCACCACCTACACCAGCTACATATCTCCCACCCCAGCAGCACACAGAGACAAGCTGTCCACTAACACCCCCCCCCCCACCCCCCAAAGGTACCAGTCTCCCAGACCCCAGACAGTCTCCAGGACGTTCCCAGTCCGTTCGGTAGAGTGGTCAAGCGGCCGCCGGCCAGACTCAAGCCTCACAAACCACAAATATATAACACCAGACATTTTCTAATACAAAGAACTACACACCTGATTTGTCCCCCGTCTGTGGGAACTCATTTAAAGTTGATTGCCTATTCATGAGAGGCTGTGCCCGGGGCCAGTGTGCTCTGGAACCTTAATTTCACCTAACACACCTGACGAGTCGAGCCCTCGTTAATCAAGAGGCAGCTTGCTTCTCGTTAGCTAAAATATTTACTCCTACGTCTGGGAATGAATAATGGCTGATATTAGCATCGTTGTCGATATCAGTGACCGCGGGGAATTTGGGATGAAGGTTGGGGGGGCTAGGAGAGGAGGGGGGGGGTCGATCTAGCCCAATAGTACATTGATCCCGGCTAGGGGGGGGGGGTCTCTTTAACCTATCCTTCGGTACTATGACTAGTTTTCTCCAGTCCACCACAGCGAAGTTACGCATTTTATGAGACTCGGGATTTGTCGCGAGGGAGCTGTTGTTGTTGTTGTTATAGATTCAGATACTCGGAAAAAGTTCCAAGTAGCACGGGCTATGGTGAGCCCGTAACTTACCTGGCACAGGAGCGGGGCAAGTAGCACGGGCTATGGTGAGCCCGTAACTTACCTGGCACAGGAGCGGGGCAAGTAGCACGGGCTATGGTGAGCCCGTGGTGGATTTACCTGGCACAGGAGCGGTGCTGTGTGTGAGAGAGCTGTCTCCTTCTGCTTTGTTGATGAAAACATCCTCTAGCCCGTGCTGTGATGTTTGGAGGTGGGCTTGGGGATAGTCTCGACGAGACGGGGGGGGGGGGGTAGTGGGGATAGTGGTAATAGAAGCGGTTGTTTGAGGATTTTGATTTACCAATCATCTCAATTTCCTCTCCACCAAGGACACAATCAGCGTCCACTCTTGTTGGATTGGTACCCTCTCTGGTTCACTGTGATAACGACAATAACACACACATGTATATATGTGTGTGTGTGTGTGTGTGTGTGTGTGTGTGTGTGTGTGTGTGTGTGTGTGTGTGTGTGTGTGTGTGTGTGTGTGTGTGTGTGTCTTGAGTCAGTACATAAGACAACCGGCGGTTAGAAAGGCGGGGTCCAAGAGCTAATAACATTTCGAGCCTGAAGTCACACACTCTGCTAGCTAGGTTCAATATAACAAACATAAACACACTTGTCACACTTGGATGAATAAGTGTGTCCATCCATCAACACTTTTATGGAAAGCAGACACTTGAAGCACTCAAACACCAGACTTCAGACAAACACATACACACACACACACACACACACACACACACACACACACACACACACACACACACACACACACACACACACACACACACACACACACACACACACACACACACACACACACACACACACACACACACACACACACACACACACACACATACACACACATACACACACACATACACACACACACAGCGTTCCTGAACAGCGTTCAGGAACCTGTGTAAGGAATCATTCAGAATCTTGTACACCACATATGTAAGACCACTCCTGGAGTATGCGGCCCCAGCATGGAGCCCGTACCTTGTCAAGCACAAGACGAAGCTGGAAAAAGTCCAAAGGTATGCCACTAGACTAGTCCCAGAACTAAGAGGCATGAGTTACGAGGAAAGGCTGCGGGAAATGCACCTTACGACACTGGAAGACAGAAGAGCAAGGGGAGACATGATCACAACCTACAAAATCCTCAGAGGAATCGACCGGGTAAACAAGGATAAACTATTCAACACTGGTGGGACGCGAACAAGGGGACACAGGTGGAAACTGAGTACCCACATGAGCCACAGAGACGTTAGAAGAAACTTTTTCAGTGTCAGAGTAGTTAACGGATGGAATGCATTAGGCAGTGATGTGGTGGAGGCTGACTCCATACACAGTTTTAAATGTAGATATGATAGAGCCCAGTAGGCTCAGGAATCTGTACACCAGTTGATTGACAGTTGAGAGGCGGGACCAAAGAGCCAGAGCTCAACCCCCGCAAGCACAAATAGGTGAGTACACATATATAGGCAGGTAGAACGAACAAAACATAAATACAATTAACCTGTCAGTTAAACATTCAGGTAGACAGGCACAGACACACAGCCAGACACACAGAGACAGACGTTTAGACAGGCAAAAAAAAATCATTGGATAAACTCGCATATATATATATTTGAGGAACGACCAATGGCAAATGATTATATTATTTTATATAAACACCTGATGATTGGCGGCAAGTTCGACAGTACGATAGTTTCGTACACGTTGTTTGTATAGAGAACTCTGAGGGCCACGCTGGAGTGAGTCAGAGTTATATCAACTCCCTCCCTCCCTCCCTCCCTCGCCCCCTTCTCTCCCTCCATACTTCCCTCCCTTCCTCCATTGCCCTCTTCCCACCCTCTCTCCCTCTCCATGCTCGGCTACAACTCCCTGACCAGAAGAAAACGAGAATCATCAAAGTAGAACACAGTCAAGGACAACTCTCCCTCGTCCGCTATACAGTCGTAATGCCTTGTTGCTGTCTCCTGATAGTTCCCTTCCTTTCCCTCCCTTCTCCTCCACCCCCCCTTCCATTGTCCCTCACCATCCCACCCCCCACACCCTCGTTTATCCCACTTCTCCCCCTCCTCAACGTCCTAACCACGTTAGCTGACCATCGTCATCTATCCACTTCCAAACCTGACCTCTATCTTCGAAGCATCAAGGTGACTTCCTCCAGCATAGTGTACACCTGACTTTTACTCACTGGAAGCTATGCATAGTCATCCAGGTGACATTATATCCCCTCAATGCAGCATCCAGGTGGCTGACTATCCTGCAGCGCCACTTCCTATTGGTCCATATATATAATGTTAAAACTATGCTGGAAACAATCCAGTAATTCCACGTTTAAATTATTTTGTAATTCAATAAATCTACAGCCATATTTCCAAACCAGTATTTACCCAGGTCTTTCATAAACCTAAACTTACCACTTTATATCCATTGTTTCGTGCTCTATTTTGTTTGTATATATTAAAACGGTATTTAAATCCTCCCCCCCCCTTGTTATGTAGTTGCATCATTTGTGTTCGTTTCATTCCTTACTCTTCGTCTTTCAAGAAAATGTAATTAATTTTTTCGGTCAAGAAAATGTAATACATTTTTTCGGTCAAGAAAATGTAATACATTTTTTCGGTCAAGAAAATGTAATACATTTTTTCGGTCAAGAAAATGTAATACATTTTTTCGGTCAAGAAAATCTAATTCATATAGTACGAAGAACAAAACTGATTTTCATAATCTAATTGAAATATGTCTAATTGGAGCCCAAAAAGTCTCCAAATAGCCATACTTAAATGTAGGCGGCGCATATCATGGGAGTGGGGAACCCACCATCAGCAGGATCCCGCCACTCCTGATATAATTACCGTAACAACATTTGTATCACATAAGACTCTAAATGCACTTCAAGACCGGTGCATTACTGACTTTCTCCTCTCTCTCCCCCCGCACCGACAGGCATGATGGGGGTGTGTGAGTGGCGGCGACAGATCACCAGCAGGAGACGCAGCAGCAGCAGCAGCAGCAGGGTGGGCGTGGTGAGGGCGCGGTGACGCACCTCCAGGATGGTGCGTCACGCCCACCACCACCACATGCGCCTCCACCGGCCACAACACCGCCACTCCCCGGCCCTCCACGACACCGGCATAGAGTTGGAGCCCCTGGTGGAGGGTGAACACCCTCAGCCCCTCCCTAGCACCCTCGGAGCTCGGCACCACCAGGTGGGTCCTCCTCGCAGCTCTCTCTACGATTGATTGATTGATGAAGATTAAGCCATCCAAAAGGTGGCACGGGCATGAATAGCCCGTAAGTGGTGGCCCCTTTTGAGCCGTTACCAGTATCAAGAGCTGATACTGGAGATCTGTGGAGGTGCGACTGCACCCTGCGTGACGGAAGATGTCTCCCGTCTCTCTCTACCTTCTTAGACCTCTTGTTTATATTTGTTTCTTAGGGCCCCCATCCCATCCCAAATCCTTATCCTGACCCCTTCCCAGTGCTATATAGTCGTAATGGCTTGGTGCTTTCCTCCTGATAGTTCCCTTCCAAGGGGTCGAGTGTTCAACCCGATCGATTGATTTGCAACTCCGTAAAAAATCAACCTTTTTATCGTAACCAGAAACGTACGAACCCAAGAAACACACCTAATCTATCCAGTCCGATGTATAGAAAACGGAAGATATTTGTGAGGCGTTACTTTTCTCAATGTATTGCATTTTGTGACGTGAAAACCTACGAGTAGGGAAGGACGTGACAAGGGTCGGAACGCCGGCCCGTAAGACAACCTATTTTGGTGCCTCTTTGTTAACAAAAGAGATGACACAATGGGCAGCTTGGTCGGGTCACAGCCGATAGATCGCGGGGTTTAATTCGCACGGCAAGATAGAAGCGTTTGGGCAACGTTTTCTTTAACCCTGGTACTTCTATTCACCTAGCAGTTAATTGGTACCCAGAAACAAGACAATTATATTTTGTGTGGGTTTTACACCGGGGGAAAGTGAGAAGTCGGCCAAGGGGGTCACCCCTTATCTTGAGGTTATCTTGAGATGTTTTCGGGGCTTAGCGTCCCCGCGGCCCGGTCCTCGACCAGGCCTCCCAGGTACCTATTTACTGTTAGGTAACAGGGGCATCAGGGTGAAAGAATCATTTTTGCCCATTTGTCTCCGCCTCCACCAAGGATCGAACCCGAAACTTCAGGACTTCGAATCCGAAGCGCTGTCCACCCAGCTGTAACCCCTGGAAACACAAACCGCAACTGTCTCTATTTTCCGCTTATTACAACTTGTAATAAAGTTGTTACATCTTGGCTTAACGTGTTTATGACGTATTAGAACGTTATTACAACTTGCTATATTGGTTGTTATAACTGGTTAGGTGTTAAAACTTGTTCGAACGTTGTACCAACGTCGTAGTTTCGGTGTGTGTTTGGCCAACCCGCTCTCGCACAAGGCAGTACATATATGACTTATTGCTTATAGTCACTATTTCGCTTGTTTGGCGGGTTAAGGCGCCCGCCCTTTAATAATCCTATAACAATTCCTGTCCTGAACGCTGGGGGGGAGACTATACTGTACTCTCCTACCTGGAGAGTAAGTCACTGTGTCTGAGCATGCAGACCTTACCTTCAAAAGGACATAATTACTTTTGGGAGAAAGTTGAGCACATAGCGACAACAATAATCATCCTAGAACTAGGTCGACTCTCATACCACGAACGGTAGGGGGGCGTTACCACAAACAACGGTATATGTGACAGTGCTTTTTGACCCCATAGGGTAATAAACCCATAGAACCGCCTATCCGTCGAAGCCGCAAGTGCCAAGGAAAATAATTCAGTTTAAAACACAGCTGAAAAAGAAATCCTCTGGAACAGTAGGGGGAAAGAGAGGAGAACCTTCTCCAGCTATTATTAACTATTAGGAAGAAGTACCATGATTTTCTTCATGAAAATTCGTTAATTAAACTAATTTTCGTGCCTGTGACAACATCACCCCCAAATATATAAGGAAAAAAGGTAGTAATTATGTCTTTTCCCCCAGTTTACCCTATTTATATTACATTTTCACTTTGATAGGAAAAGAAAACGTAACATTATTTTGGGTAACTATTTAAAATCTAGATCATACGCTTTACATCAAATTTGAATAATTTTAAATTTTGTATAGCCTCCAGACGGGAGGGGTGTGTTTTTTGTTTATTGAGGGGGGGGGGGGGGGAATGGTGGGAATTACCGGATTGACCTAGGCACCGCCCCAGGTACCCCATCCAAGTTATTAAACAACTGTGATCTTCACGGTCACTACGACATAGACTGAAGCACAGTGGTCGCTGGCTTCCTCTGGCATTTCATGGTCAATGTTTTCAATGTCGATCTCATTCTGTGTGAAGACCAGAGCTAAGCCAGCTGGTTGCTCACCACCCCCTTCTCGTTTCCTCCCTGAAATGTTGCATCAGGATGTTCCTCTCTGCTACTTCTACTAGCTTTGTTCTCCATGTGTGTGTGTAGATGATAAAAGCCTTAAGTAATAGATTCTAAAACAACTTAATTGTAAGTCCATGCTAGTTTGATGAATTTACCTGAGGGCCACTAGCACTAGTGGCCTCTACGGGGCCAGGAAGCCGGCGGCTTTGGCTGTGTGTGTATGTTGTGTGTGCAATACGGATGTGTGTACTCTACGGATGTGTGTACTCTGCGGAAGTACTGTACTCTATGGATGTGTGTATATGAGTGTACTGGTGAACAGGGAGGCGGCGGCGGCGGCGACGATGGCGGTGGCGGCGGGACGGGCGACGACGGGACGAGGAAGGTGTGTGTGCTGCCTCACGTCGGCCTCTTCATGGCGGTCCTCTCCTCCCTCTTCTTCTCCCTCTGCTCCCTCATCGTCAAGGTGAGTGATGCTTCACGGTGGGTGATGTTTGGGATGCAAGTCTCCTTTAACGAACTCTTTACTTTTTTAGGGCGGCTAAGGGGAGGCCGGGATGGGTAGAGGAAGGTGGAGTGGGGGAGGCCGGGATGGGTAGAGGAAGGGGGAGTGGGAGGGGGGAAAAGAAAGGGAGTGGAAGGGGGAAGAGGAGGGAGATTAATGATTAGTTACCCCAGCTGTAGAGGACGAAACCTCATATCATGCGCCAGACGAGAACAGTTTTACCTGGTTTTACCTGTATCATGCCATCATGGCAGGACATATGGTGGTATACTGGTTATACCATTGTCGGAGATAGGTCATCAGTTAGGCTTATTGAGGTTCCCCCCTTCCCAAGGGTGACGGGGTAACGCGGTCACCCTTCCTGTTTCTGGCCAGATCGACAGTGTTTATCAATGACCCATTTTGACACAGAGGTCGACTGTTATAGATATTTAAAGTAAATTAAAAACAAAAACAGATACAGCTAATGGTAGAAAACTATTATTGCGAAAGAAATGGAACTGAGAATGATTGTTTCTATTGAACGATAAGGCCTCGTTTATATAAACTGAGTTAGACATGTGGTGAATGAGTTAGACATATGGTGAATGAGTTAGACATGTAGTGAATGAGTTAGACATGTAGTGAATGAGTTAGACATGTAGTGAATGAGTTAGACATGTGGTGAATGAGTTAGACATGTAGTGAATGAGTTAGACATGTAGTGAATGAGTTAGACATGTAGTGAATGAGTTAGACATATGGTAAATGGGGATCTTCTAAACAACCCTTTGATAGATGAGGTTAGTGGTGGTTGAACACGGAACACTGTACTAGGAGTGGGCTCCTTCTGTTAAACTCTTCATGTTGTTAAATTTCAGAGTTAGTGTAAACCCGTTGTGACTGTTTACTATATTAAACTGTATTATCTTTAGTTATATTTTGTTAACAAGTAATCTTATTTCTGGTAATATTTACCTTTTGAACATTTAAGGCATCTGAACAAATCTACAAGGGCCGTGTTCATTTGAACAAGGCCAATTTGTTCATTTGATACATCAAGCTATTGTGATTTCTGTGTGTAATTTAAGGCATCTGTTCCGCTGTGAGGCAAGACATTGAGTAATATGTATGTATATATATATATATGAATATGTATTGAGCGTTCTTAGGAGCATTTCTTATTAAATATGTGTTTAATTATATGTTTATATAATTTTGTCTTAAAAATCATCCTGATTTACAATCGTTTGAAACGAAACACCTTCTGCAGATTCTCTCAGACGTGAGTCCGATGGAGCTGGCGGTGTTCCGGTTCGTGGGTATCCTGCTTCCGACGCTGCCGCTGCTCCTGCGCAGGGGAGACCCGCCGTTTCCGCGGGGCCTTCGCCTCATGCTGGTGCTGAGGGGCCTAGTGGGGGCCACCTCTCTCATGCTCCAGTTCTACGCCTTCCGACACATGCCTCTTGCTGACGCCTCTGTCATCGTCTTCAGCGTACCAGTGTTCGTAGCGGTGTTCGCGCGAGTGTTTCTTGGTGAGCCGTGTGGACTGTTCAACGGTGTTGTGATTATCCTAACCGTGGCTGGGGTCGTCCTTATTGCCCGCCCTCCACTGCTCTTTGGTTCGCTGTCTGACGCTTACACGCTGGAGAACTGGTGGGGCGCTGCGGCTGCTATCAGTGGGACCGTAGTCGCCGCAAATGTTTATGTAATTTTGCGAGTGCTGAAGGGGCTGCACTTCTCTGTGATCATGACCAACTTTGCAGTGGTAGCACTGCTCCTGACGCCAGTGGTGTCGTGGGTGAGAGGCGACCTGTGCGTCCCGCGCTGCGGCAGTGAGCGGTACCTTATCCTGGCCATTGGGGCCTTCAGCTTCGGTGGACAAATTCTCCTGACAAAGGCCCTGCAGCTGGAACAAGCAGGACCTGTCTCCATTGCGCGGACAGCTGACGTTGTCTTCGCATTCATATGGCAGGCCATTTTCTTCCATGAGCTGCCAGATAGGCTCAGTTTACTGGGCGCCCTCTTGGTAACGTCATGCGTCTTACTGACAGGGTTCCGCAAGTGGGTGATGTCCCTACCGGAGACTTCAGCCACTCGGCGGAGACTTCGTTGTCTCACCTGCTGACCTTAGTGGCCCACATGGACTTCTATGATCTTTGGGTCCTTTCAAAGTGATCAAACACATGAAGTCGCACACACATTCATAGTTGGTTAGTTCATTCCTACATTTTTTTGTTTTTAGGAGGATGGCTGTAATGATATTAAGTTTTAGCATTTCAATTAACAGAAGATACTATGTCGTCTCTATCTGCATTATCCTAGTTGTAGAATTTACATACATTTTTAAAAGTAAATTAGAAACATTTTAATGGAGCAATATGGAAAGTTTGCAAGCATTCAATAATGGTAGTGTCTATGGTTTACCCAGTGTGTCTGACGGAAGTGGAGTAGCCACCTGGCTCTCAAGTGTATACATTTCTCTTTATATTTTCTTGAGAGTTTTCACGAAGAGTCTTAATCAAAGTATACATTCTTTTCAAATTCTTAATTGGTGAATAATAATTTAATGTGTACATAATTTATTTGTTCATAAATGTAAATCTTTTTCCATATTTGTCATGATATTTTGTAGTAAAAAAAAGCCAGGCATAGCTTTACTATCTAACTGTATTGTGTACTTTATAGAGTTTAAGGAAATTCTTGTTCCTTTTTTTTCTTGAATCTTACCACGTCTCCAAATACCAGTCTGGAGTCACTCTTTAACACCATAAACTGACACCATATGATGACACTATATGATGACACTATATACTGATATCAAATGATGAATGGTTTTTTCTCATCATCGAATATTTTCTACTCTATTTTTGTTTTCCTTTTTGGTGTTATTGCTTCTTCTAGATTACTTTTCTCTCTCATGTCACTACTAAACCATATTTATTTTTCTGAATGGCTTTTGTGTATACTGTATGACCTGCAGGTAAAAGTTTAAGTCCTTAGTGAACCCACACAATGTAGCTGTGATTTTTTCCTTTGAGTAAGTTACTCAGTTACATGGGAACCTCAGAAGACTGTTTAAGTGCTACAAGTTCTATTTCTAGGGTTAAAGCCCTTTAGTAATATATTATATCTCTGCTGAATGAGCCAAATTCACATAATAATTATTTGATCAACAATATTTTCTTATGCTTTGACAGATACATTCACCTCAATAATTGATTGTATTATGCATACTGTATATTTTGCACAAAAGCTAACGTAGCAGTCTAAATAGCCTGACTATTCGTCAGTACTACTTGAGTAAAATTTGATGGATATTAAATAATGAAATGATATTAAATAATATAAATTGTTACTGACAAATGTAAATATCAATTTATATAAATTCCAGGGATGATAGACTAAAACAGTAATCTTTTTGGCAAGCAAAGTCTTGCCTACTAAGCTAAGTCAGACAACTCTTCCTATAAAATTCTATGACCTCTCAGACTCAGAGGTACTCAGACCACTGGGAAAAGGCACAGCAGCCTTGGAGCGTTATTTAGCCTATCAACCTTTGTAGGCTAATTAAGCTCCATCGATTTCAGGAGGGTTATTAAGGCCACAATAGCTTACTGATCAACCAGCAAGTATACTTTAATCCTGAACATAGTCCAGGATTAAAGAACAGTACTCTCTCAGTGTATATGCACCGAGAAGATAAATATATTACCCTGTTCTGGGATTGTATTTTTAGTCATCAAACTATACTCATATTGTTTGCAGGGATTCAGTATAAATTTGAGTATTGATTTCAAGTACTGTATTTGAGAGGAGATATTATTTTGTGCCTGGTCATGTTTATATTGGTCACAGATATATATTTGAGCTTATATTATTATTTTCCATATTAAATTTCATTCATTTTCTGCCACATGACTCACAAATCTTATGAAATGTTTATTTTTACAGTATTTCTTAATATCTACAGAAGTCTTTCCACATTTTTAACCAAAATATCATGTTTCGGTTTTCCCCATATTCATTTATTGCTTCATTATTTAAATACTTTGCACGCTTTTTTGTCCATCATCCCACTCTCAACAATGTATCATCACTGTGTTAATCTGCACCAACAAAGTTATTGCCTCTTTAGTCTTCACTTGCAGGATTGCATTCCCCATCATCATGCAATTTAAATTTGTACATACTGACATGTCCATTTTTTAACTTCATGATTGCTTTAACAGAAAAAAACACAATGATGGGGAACAAAAACAACATAATTTAATCAAGGCCTAATTTAGCATAACTTTGGCCTAATTTAGCATAACCTAGGCCTAATTTAGTATAACTTTGGCCTAATTGATCACAATCTTGGTCTAATTTAATTCTAGGTTAGATTAGGTTAGGTCTATATTTGGTTTGATATAAAAGATTATTTTCACCCATTAAAATTTCAATTTATTTTATTCTCGTTTTGTCTGTTATAACTAAATTTTATATTACATTGTTAAAGTACAACACATACTTATTTATCACTATGAACTTATAAGTAAAGCACATGTGTGTGAGGAAAGATTGAGGATTATCACTATTAGTTTGCACCAGCATCATCTTCACCTCTTTATGTGCAATAATATTATTATCTTCTAAATTTATATGCTACAAGCTAATCACTATTAGATATGAACAAACATCATCCTCACTTCTTTATTTGCACCAATGTTATTGTCACATCATTGAACCAATTTCATTATCACTTTTATCCACCTTAGCATGATCATGGCTATTTTCATGTGAGCCAGCAACATTGTCACCATCATTCAAGCAATCATTATCATTACAGTTTTTTTTTTTTGAATCCTTAAGGATTACAACTACTTCTGCCCCATTATCACCATCATCATCTTTGTGTCTTTCCTGAGAACCAGTGATGTGGTCTCTGCTTTTAATGCACCAATTGCACAATATCAGCTACACTTCCTTCATTAGAACAGACATGGCACTCCCCACTCCAACCTATGGCACTCCCCTTGATTCCACTATTCATCTTAAACTGTCACTGGCATCTACTTCTTCACCAGAGGCATGTTTTCGGTCCTGTCCTCTTGGATCATAACTTGCCCCATATTTGCACCTCTTTCCAAATTCATCAGTCTGCTAAAACTGGTAGTTTGGCTACAGAACCAAGCTATATCAGCTGGTCTGAGATTCACAAAATAGACCAATAGAGTTTCATTTTCCTTAAATACAAGGAAACAGCCATAATGGAACTGTATTGATATTTTAGTGAATATAATTCAGTACTTTGACTAGCAAGTTCTTAGCAAGCACAAAGTTAATAGATCACCTTGGTAGATGACCAATTAAGTTATGTAATTTTAGGGGGTACGATGTATTCCCGTAATAAAAAATGCAGAGGTAGTATGTTAAAAGGTGTGTATTAAAGGATTATTTTTTTTTTAGAATAAACCCTCTTAAGATAGTATTTTCTAAGGATGATCTTAGTAATAGATTTTAATTTAAGGAGAAGGCCCTAAAATTCCTAGAGACCAAATATTTCAATGAAATTAAAAAATCAATTAATACAAAATAGGAACACAACCATTTCTCAGGAACTGATAAATAGAATTCAGCACCAAAAAAAAGTCATTAGATTTTTTTAGAGAAATTAAAATAGTTGTATATTAATAAGAAATCAAAAGAAATTGCAGACTTTGATAGTGTACAGTGATGAAAATTATACTTACACCTCTTAGGGAAAAAAATGATATGTGAAAATTAATCTGAATGCAGTTGTGTACAAATTAGACTTCAGATTGTCAATTGAAATATATTTCTAGTTAAAATTCATAATGATACTACAGTATCTTTCTAAATTTCACAAGCTGTAACTATGTGTTGGAAGTTTAGTGTGACAAAATATACGTCCATTTATCAAGATGTTGCATGAGCTCAAATCATAGATTTATAGCAAGAAGTGTTTGTGTGTGCATTCTGAAGGAGTATGGTCTTGACAAAAATTATAGTGGGTAAAAATGTTAAATATGTTATTAAAAGTACAGGTTTTAATTTTGTTACTGTGTCATTTTTGTTTTCAATTGAAATAATATTGCAGCATTATTTACTTAAGTATATAGTAGCTGATTTATAGTCATAATAGGATATATTATGTTTGTTTATCACTAAGTTGTGTGCAGGAATGTTCAAAGCATATAAACAAATATTACTTTCAAGTTTGTTAAGTGTGAGAAATAACTCAAAATATTTTCAGGTACTGTGATTAGTTTTAGGTTTATGAAATAGAAAAATGCATTAGTGTACAGTGTATTCTTTTTTTCAGTAGCTTTTCATGGGACATATGTCAAGGTGCAACATTGCATGGAAAGGCTATTAAAAAAAGCTCCGGTGCAATATGTACATTATATATGGGTCTTTGTTATCACAATGCCTTCGACCTTTCACTAAGAGTTCACAATTTTTATGTAATCATTAGCCCAAGAAAGTGAAAATCCTGTGATAACATATTGGTAATTACTCTATTCTGAGTCCTTTTAATGGGTGGCATAAAAGTAATGCTTTTTTGTAAAATGAAGCTGTATAAAATATTGAAAAGAAAAATGTATTTAATGTTGCTTGTGATGAACTTGGTCAGTATATATATATCTAGAGTTGTATGACACACATAAACAATCAGCACTTTGATAGCACAGAATTTATAAGTAGGTCCCATAGATGTATAATAAATAAAGGCCTTTCTCAGGGTATATCACACCTGTCTTGAGCAAGTAGGGATTAAAAAAAAAACAGTAATTTTGTCCCTATTCCAAATATTTTGAAAGCCGTTAAATTCTAACATTAGTTATTTTTAACATAAAGTTCAATTTCTCATTACTAAGCAAAGGTGTGAACAACATGTAATTAAATCTATCAGAAAAAGAGGTCAGATAATAGCAGTAGATATTAATATAAGCAACATGAGCAGAAGATGTTGATGATATAAAGATTACATCAAAATTATAGATGAATGTTAATGATGGAACTGAGAATAAATATCTGACAGTTTATATCACAAATGAGAGCCATATGTAGTCATGCAAAGCTGTATATCATCTCTATACCTCACAATATTGCATCATTTCTTCTTTATTGTCATCTTTTCTGAAAGATGTAATTCACTGAATGGTGACACTCAAAACACTTCATTATCACTGCGGTCTAGTGACTACATGTGTGTGAAAACAGTGATGTGGTCCCCAATGTGTTATACATGTGGTGACTATCGTGAGTGGTCATGTCAGTGACTCTCACTGTCTCTCTCATTTAATTGTTCTTTTCGGATAAATATCAAGTCTCTCTCTAGCTTGGCTGTATTATACTTCATAATGCTACTCATTAATCTTTCACAAGAAAATGATTAGCCAATCTAGAGAACCAGTGCTTTGCTCTGTTTTAGTTTGTGACATAATATATTTTGCAGTAGAACAATTGAATTGGAATTGAGATGTGTTGCTTTATTTAAATGTGGACCAGAATGCAGTTCTTAACAGCAAATTAACTTCTATACAGGATGTTTCTGCTTCGGTTATGTTCCATTTTATCGTTTGCCCTTCACTTGCAATTGAATGTGATTCCATGATTTTGTACAAAGTTGTGCACATTAAATATTTAACTGGTGATAGGAATTTTGCAAATGTGTTTAATAGTTTTGTAACTATTTGTTCAGAAGAAGAAAGCAATGTAAATAGATGTGTATTGCATTAAAATGTTGTGGAATGGTTGAGATAAATGCAGAGTTTGGTGTGATGTATTTATAGACCTCTACTCCTATCATACCCTGTTTCTTAGCCCTTCATCATCCCTTCCAACCCCCCCCCTCTCTCTCTCTCTCTCTCTCTCTCTCTCTCTCTCTCTCTCTCTCTCTCTCTCTCTCTCTCTCTCTCTCTCTCTCTCTCTCTCTCTCTCTCTCTCTCTCTCTCTCTCTAGTACCTAATTTTTCACTCTGGCTTTCTTGCATTTTTTTTTTAAGAAATCACTCCAATGCTATATTTAGATAAGATATTTGCAAGAATTTTATTGGAATGAAAGAAAAGGTGACAGCAAGGGTAATGTGGCCAGTGAGTGGAGTCAGTGTGTGTTGGAGTAGCTGGTGATGGCTGGTCTAGGATGCTTTAGTCATGTGTGGGAAATAGTGCTATACTTGGTTAATGCCAGTAATCCGACGTAGATAGAGTGGTAGACGGTTGGTTAAGTGGGATGGTGGTGGAGGCCAAAGGTCAGTACTGTAGTTTCAAAGCATTATACGACAAAGAGTACTGGGAAGACGGGACACTATGAGCGTAACTCTCATCCTGTAACTACACTTAGAAAATTACACACACACACACACACACACACACATACATACATACATACATACATACATACATACATACATACATACATACATACATACATACATACACACACACACACACACACACACACACACACACACACACACACACACACACACACACACACACACACACACACACATCCATCCATTAGGCTTTAACCCTGGAAACACAGTTGAATATGGTGGTCCTATATTGCAAGGGAGAAAACTTCAAAAGCAACAAATTCGTTCATGGCATAAAAACTGATATTAGTAATACCACAAATCATAATCTCATTAACACGTAACTATAACTGGTAACTGGACCAATGGGTTTTCGAGGTAACAGACAAATAGTTATCATTCACTTGAACTTTAATCGCTCAGAAAAATGACTGACACGGGTTATGCAATGTTAAGGTTGCAAGTATTGGCGTAAACTATTTCAATTATCATACCAGAGTGCTGCCAAAAAATATATGTGAGGCACCAGATGGAATTACTGACTTTAATAACATTTCGATGTGTGAGAGGACGTAACTAGTATTCAGTTAATTGGAAAAGTTTAATGAGATGTTATCTAACTGCCGTATTTAAGGGTGTTTTAGCATGATATGAGGGCTGTCTATGATAACTTAAGTGATCAGATCTGTATTTTGTAAGTTTGAAATGCTTCTGATAGGTTCTTACAAATGTGTGTGTGTTAAATTCTTACTATAGATGCAAATTTTGTTTATTAAGATGTACTTCCTTATGTACCATTTTTGTACATTTGAGTTTGCTGGTGAAATAGTTTTTTTTTTTTTTGCAATTGTTGCTTTGAATAGAGCATGTGTTAAACTGCTCCTGTGGTCGGTTCAATCAGACTGTTACTGGCGATGTCTGTATCAACGGTGGGAGGAAGAGTCACAAGTCTTTCGTGGTTGATTTCGCTTCTGAGTTTCGTTTGTCTGTCTGTCTGTCTGTCTGTCTGTCTGTCTGTCTGTCTGTCTGTCTGTCTGTCTCTCTCTCTCTCTCTCTCTCTCTCTCTCTCTCTCTCTCTCTCTCTCTCTCTCTCTCTCTACAAACTGAATCAGTAATAAAGTTCTCAAAGTTCTCAAATAGTAAATGTAAATCTGTCTTTCGCGTTGTAAATAATTACTGTGCTTGTGTAAAAAAAGGGACGGAGAGAGGCTATTTTTTCATGACAATATGTTCTAGTTAATTCACTTGATACCATATCAATTTTTATGTTCTCGTAGTCATATACAAAACAAAACAAAAGCCATGACATTCAAAGGTTTCATACAACAACAAAATTGTATTGTGAGAGTTGTAGCAGGATCAGGATGTATTTTATATGTTGCCATGACGTTTTTCAATACTTATGGAAACATCATTGCCCAGTTTAGGTTCCAATGCTGTTGCATGTTTAATCCCTTATCGGTGTACTGTTTTCAAGGAAAAGAAAGAAGAAAGTACCAAATTACCTCCCCAAAAAAATCATGTTTACATAATATAAAAATGACTTTGCAAAGTAATGACAATTGATAATAAATGAGATCAAAATTTCAAAGTAATATAAATCATTTCACCTTCAGAGTTGTGGATAGAAATGACACAGGATAGGGGAGAGGCTATAGTTATACGAGGCTGCGAGCTTACAAGAATTACTTTGCTGTGCGATATTCATTAAGACCAAGACGTCATTAGCTGTATAATTTAACATGATGATTGTGTTAGGATTATGGTATGTGTAGGATTAAGGTTAGGTATGATTATGGTATGTGTAGGATTAAGGTTAGGTATGATTATGGTATGTGTAGGATTAAGGTTAGGTATGATTATGGTATGTGTAGGATTAAGGTTAGGTATGATTATGGTATGTGTAGGATTAAGGTTAGGTATGATTATGGTATGTGTAGGATTAAGGTTAGGTATGATTATGGTATGTGTAGGATTAAGGTTAGGTATGATTATGGTATGTGTAGGATTAAGGTTAGGTATGATTATGGTATGTGTAGGATTAAGGTTAGGTATGATTATGGTATGTGTAGGATTAAGGTTAGGTATGATTATGGTATGTGTAGGATTAAGGTTAGGTATGATTATGGTATGTGTAGGATTAAGGTTAGGTATGATTAGGTTCGTAATATTAAGAGCCGATGCTCATATGCGTATAAGGTATATAATATTGATATTATATAATTTATACACAAAGTTGTTCGATCTTTAGACATTAGGCTTTTAATGGTGGAGACTCTGTGCTTGGGATACAGTAAGTCAGATGGTGTTAGAGGATACTGGTTAGTTAGTGTGCTCTTGTGGTGTCTTTAATAACCCTGTAGAGGCTCTTAAGCCTTCATTACCCGCTAGAGGGTGATAACCCATAAGCCCAACATTGAGCCAAAGTACTGTATTTTACATTTTTACATTCTTGCAAAGCCACTAGCACGCATAGCGTTTCGGGCAGGTTCTTAATTTAACATATCAGGTTAGATGAAAAGGTCCATTGCAGCAACATTTTGCATCAACATATATCTACAATATATATTAGAGGATTGTGTTATCCACCCTTACTTTCTGTGCTTTAACTGCGTCTGGTCCTCCACTTATAGTTTTGAAGAAAGAACAACTTTAGTTCTGTTAGATTTAATGTAGGCTTGACAAGGTTCCCTGACCTCACGTTCCAGACCTTTCAAATACTGAACATATTGGGCATATTGGAAGATGTTAATCCAGGCCACTTCTGTAAAAGGTGCAAATGTTACACAATATTTCAACCTGAGAAAAATCTTCAGGAATAATGCGGAGGAATTTTGAAAATCCGCCGGCATCCTGCACTCGTGGAGGTCGCTAGATAAATTCAGGGTCACGGTAGTACAGATAGGTTCATTCTCGTCTCACAATCGGCAAACCCGGGTTCGCATCCCGAGTGGGTCAAAAATAGTTGGGAACGTTACCTATCACCTATAATGCATATATTCAAATAGTAGTAAATAGGTTCCCAGGAGTTAGACAATTGCTCTGGATGGTCAGTAATTTGACCTTTAGAGAACCTCCATATTAGCCTAACATATATATATAGTACATATACTGGCTACCTGTCCCCGACAAAATTAATTAAAAAGTAAATTAACCTATTATACAGAAAGGTTTTCTATAACCAGAGTGAAGAAGAAAACGTTGAAAATTATTTCAGGTATAACTTTATTAAATATCAGTCCTGAAATAATTGCATTTTTTTTATTTATTTATGTATACAAGCGTTCTTACATTCTTGTAAGAACTCGAATAGTTTTAATTCATTGTGTCGGGGGACAGGCAGCCAGGTTATACGTATAGTACATGTTAGACTTATGTCGAGGTATTTCCAGGGTCGAATTACTGCCCCTCCCCAGGATGTGTTTTTGCTGCTAGGTGGACAGGGGCATTAGGTGACAATAAACACACCCAACCATTTTTGTCCCGTCCGGGATTCGAATCCGGAATTCTCGATTGTGAGTCGAGAATGAACCCCACTGTACTCAGCCTCGTCCTCCTAATGTTTCCCAACGTCAAGAAACCAGTCAATCTAAAGTGGTCTCTCCTAACCTACCAGAGGATCCAAAGCAGAAAACGGAACAGTACGTCACTTTCTCCAGCCGCTTCCATTTTCTAGTGCGACAATTGCTGGACTTATGAAACGCATATACGATCGACGTTCTTTGTAGGACAGGTTGCCGTAATACCGGGATCCTTTCTTCTTCACTTGACGGGAACTATTTCAAGTGACAAGATGGGAACAAGAAGTCCTTGGATTTAGTAAAGATTCACGATGAGCTTCACGCCAAGGTCCGTTGCCTTGACCATCATTGATAATGTGGAGACAGCCACATTTAAATTACCCGCCGGCGGGAGCATTTCTTTCCTCAGGTCATACCCAGAGGTGATTGGCTGAGCCCTGCGGCGCCGCCCTGGGAGCGGCATGCCTCCGTCAGTAGACACTCGTGTCACGCCCTTACCACACCTCTCCTGAGCAGCTGCCTTTGACGTGTGTGGGATTACCCGGCAGTATTGGACCTCGACCCTCCTGTTTGTCTACTCCCAGAGCCCTTATTTTGCTTCACGCAAGACCCACAAGATGTCAGAACTTAAGGTGAGTCTCATTTTCTTTTGTACCCCTAATTTCTTATGCCTAGTCAGGATGTGCTAGAAGCAGAGGACTCTGGTGGAGGTCCGTGTAACCATTTTCAAAAAAAGGAACAATAACTGTTGATAGGCTATGCTCGTCCAAAATGCAATTGTCCAAAGACCAAGCTGTCATTTTTTTATACTCGTGATAGAAACTTATATTTTCTCAAGTAAAAATCAATGATCCTATAATTATCTGAATTTACCTGTGGGGCCACCGACTCTAGTGGCCTTCACGAGGACAGGATGCCGGCGGCTTCTCAGTTGTCCCCTCATTATTCCTTTGCATTTTTATCCAAATGAATTTTTAAACTGCAGTAATACCTTGTCACTAATTACAACTTCGACGCGTAGGCGATTCCAGTGGTTAATTATCTTATGAGTGAAGAAGCACTGTGGCTTGTTGAGCTTGAAGCTCAACTCTTGTATGCGCTACGTTTGACCTTTAAAGGAAGTGGTCTGAGTTATCTTCCAGTTTGTTTAGTATTTTTTAAGGTCTTTATGAGAGGTTGATCAGCCCTGTCGTGTCCGCTTTGTTGTGTTGTTAGCTCCGAGGCTACGAACCGTTCCTGGTTTGAAAGTTGACAGTTATAGAATGATTTTTATCACTGCGCTGAACATTTTCTAAAGCAGATATGTTCTTTGGATTGTGAAATTTCAATGCTAGGATACATGCAGTTGTTCTGTGTATAGTTAAACCTATGGCAGGTTAGGTTAGGTTAGGTTAGGTTAGGTTAGGTGTTTTGGTTCTAATGATAGTTAAGAGACGCGTTACAAACCAACGTAACCTCAGGGTATGCCGGCCTTTGCTGCAACCCGTCTTCAAGCTATGTTCATTCCATCCAGCGGCCGACCCCAAAGACGCATTCATGTTTAACATACTGCTCATTCAAAATAGCTGTTTAGGTTCCATCGGCTATTATAGGTATTTGTAGTTCGTGTTTGAATTAGAACAGAGGTCGTCACCGAAGTACTGTTAGAGAAATGTTCGAATGTCATTAGTTGAGAGTCGTGTGTAAAGCGTTTTTCATATACAAACAGAGTTTGGGTGACGCATGGAATGAGCGTTGGCCTTTATTGATGAGGACGGGCTGGTAGATGAGCACGGGCTGGTTGATGAGGACGGGCTGGTTGATGAGCACGGGCTGGTTGATGAGCACGGGCTGGTTGATGAAGACGGGCTGGTTGATGAGGACGGCCTGGTTGATGAGAACCATCTGCTATACCGTAACGGACCGTAATGCCACAGTTCATTAAGCGAAGTACAGTTCGACATCAGTCTCAACAGTTGGAATTCGTGTAAAGGGTTTTTTCAATCGTAAACACTAGGCTTTATTGGCGTTGGGAACAACGAGCGCCATTGTTGGCGAGGGAGGGGACGCATTCACACAGCTCTGCTTAGCTCACTCAACACAAAAGGAGTCCCGGTTACACCTTAAACAACCCTTAAGAGATCAGCAGCAGGAGGGACACAATGAAGAACACACACATAATTTTCAGTGAAAAATATGTTACGCTTTATTAAGCGATATATATATATATATATATATATATATATATTTATATAATTTTTTCAATATATATGATGTTAGTTTTCGTTTTATAAATATATAAATTTTTTCAATACACAGACATTAGTTTTCGTTTTTAACACACAACTGACACACACACATCCGTTTACACACACACACACACACACACACACACACACACACACACACACACACACACACAGTAATATAATCAAGGCTTGGCCCTGTAGTGACGATCGATCCTCTTATACTGGTCCATGTGGTTCAGTATCAGCTGCGAGACGATGAACTGAATTTTGACGCGTTCCTGAGCGCTACAGTTGGAGCAGATCTTCATGGTGTCCACCCAGGCCTTCACATTCCCTGTGGAGACATGATCACGACCTCGTTAATGCTGTCATTAGGAAAATACTTTGAGTTTTAAACCAGAAACCCCCCGTTGGTTTTGTTTTTTTTAGTCGTGGACTCTGGCGGCCACATCTTCTTGAGATGATTTCGGGGCTTAGTGAACCCGCGGCCCGGTCCTCGACCTGGCCTCCTTTTTGTTACCACCTCCAGGTGGGACAGCCCGTAGCAGCTGTCTAACTCCCAGGTACCTATTTACTGCTAGGTAACAGGGGGCATTAAGGCGAAAGAAACATTTTGCCCATTTGTCTCCGCCTCCACCGGGGATCGAACCCGGAACCTCAGGACTACGAAATCGAAGAGCTGTCCACCCAGCTGTCAGGCACATGATGAGAGTCATAACATCAAAATGGAGTCACTTAGCCGGTGCCTCGAGTCATTATATGAACCCTTAACTACCACACCGCCTAAGTGGGTCGTGTGGAAAAAAAAAACCACATTCACCAGAGTTAAAAATATATTTCTTATGATAACGTTTAACTAGTATTGTTAGCTCTAATGTACTGGACGCCTGGGTGGAGCTAACAGCTTGAATAAAGCTTTTATCTAACAGTGTTTTCATTAACTTTGTGATTTTTAATTGTGAAATTTAACTAGACAATTGAGAAAGTTTATGCTGTCTATTCCAACATTTGGAAAAAATGATCGACATGAATTGGTTTTAATATATATATAGAGTATGTTTTGATATATAACTTGGCTTGTTTCAGTTCTTTATCTCTAGACGATTGCCTAAACTTCAGAACGTACACTAAGAATATTATAGTTAAGAATATTGCATCATCAATCAAGCCAACGTGATAAAGAAGCTCTTTATCACGTTAGCAACATGATCCTTATCAAGATCGCTTGATAAAGAAAGCAGTCAGAGCGTTCCAACTAGGCATTGACAGACGAACTTGACCCAAACTTACTGTGCATAGGACGCGCTAACGGCTCACTGCAATCTCCCACCTCAACGACGCAATCGACGATGGCCTTGACCTTCGCCGGGTCGTTCATGATGTCGTTCAGGTCCTTGTGGCTGTAGTTAGCGATCAACTGCACCTCCTTGGGCGACTGTGCTGTTGCCACCGCCACAGCCACACACAGCACGAACACCGACAGCATACTGTAACTGCCGGGTTGGTGAGGCCCCGACCAGGCATACATTAGTTAGATGGCACTGTTGGGTCTGGGCGGAGCTCCGACCCCCGCCGAGCAATGTTAATAGTCTGCTGGCTAATGTACAGTTGTAGATTTTGCCCCCCGGCAGTCAGAGCTTAGCTTCCACATGCTACACACACACACACACACACACACACACACACACACACACACACACACACACACACAAGATCAAGAGTCCATGCTGGATCAAGATTTGATCCACACACACACATATAGGTGAGTACACACACACAGATAGTAGAAAGAACTTTTTTAGTGTCAGAGTGGTTGACAAATGGAATGCATTAGGAAGTAATGTGGTGGAGGCTGACTCCATACACAGTTTCAAGTGTAGATATGATAGAGCCCAGTTGGCTCAGGAACCTGTACACCTGTTGATTGACGGTTGAGAGGCGGGACCAAAGAGCCAGAGCTCAACCCCCGCAAGCACAACTAGGTGAGCACACACACACACACACACACACACACACACACACACACACACACACACACACACACACACAGGGTGACAGTTAGGAAGCACTGAACTACAAGCCCGTGTCCCTAACTTGTATTCCATGCATGCAAGTTGATGGAGAAGATCGCGAGAAAAAAAGCGACTAGCACACCTGGGGAGACGGAATTTTTTAGCACACCACCAACACGGCTTCAGGAAGGATGAAGTGTACCTCAGGTTTAATAGACTTCTAAGACCAGGCGACAAAAAATTAGGCAAGAATTGCAATGTCATACTGTTGCACTGTCACATTATTGCACTGTCACACTTTTGCACTGTCACACTGTTGTACTGTCACACTGTTGCACTGTTGTACTGTCACACTATTGCACTGTCACACTATTGCACTGTCACACTGTTGCACTGTCACACTATTGCACTGTCACACTATTACACTGTCACACTATTGCACTGCCACACTATTGCACTGTCACACTATTACACTGTCACACTATTGCACTGTCACATTATTGCACTCAGTTTTACACTGTCATACTATTTCACTGTCACACTATTTCACCGTTACACTTATATTGTCGCACTATTACAGTGACATAGTTACACTGCTACACTGCCTACTGTGCCCCAATAAAATCAGGCGAACCAGTTTCACCACTCGCCGTTCCATCTGTGAAATCAGGTGGTGTGTGTTGAGTCAGTATAGCCGTGTAGTATACCGTATATCTCGGTATATGAGGAGGGAGAGCGGGCACATATATGTAAGGGCCAGGGCGACCAGACCCTGGGAGTACCTGGTCGTTTTTCAGGGGGCCAGATTCACGAAGCATTTTCGCAAGCACTTACGAACCTGTACATCTTTTCTCGATCTTTGGCGGCTGTGTTTATATTTATTAAACAACTGATGAGCTGCGAAGCACCAGGAGGCTGTTTATAACAATAACAAACAGTTGATTGGGGAAGTTTTCACTCATGTAAACTGTTTATAATAAATGTAACCAAAGCCGTCAAAGATTGTGGAAAGATGGACACGTTCGTAAGTACTTGCGTAACTGCTTCGTGAATCTGGCCCCAGCTTATCAAGCTGGCTGACAAGCAACTATTTTATATATATATATATATATATATATATATATATATATATATATATATATATATATATATATATATATATATATATATATATATATATATATATATATCTTATCAACACGCTGTGGAAGAGCTGACCTGTGAGGACAACGCGAGTGAGAGAGAGAGAGGGAGGAGACTGCGAACCACGACCCGCCTTCCCCGACCTTTATATACCCCCGTCTCTGGTCAGGAAGAACGACGCCAGGAAGAAAAACAAAAAAGCATCACCTTGCTTTCCTGAGAACTTGTACTCAAGGGCGCGAGCGTCTCTGATTGCTTTCTTGCAGACGAAATGAAAAAAAGGCATCATCGCGTCAGTCATGCAAGGAGATGTGTGTGTTTGTGTGTGTATGTGTGTTGCAGGTGTGTGAGTTGCTACACCTGTAAACCAGGTTTGGTAAGGTTGTAGGTTCTCAGGCAGACAGGGGGTTTCCATGTACCTCCGAGTGGGACAACTGTCTTTCGCGGTACTCAGGTTGCTTTCTGATGCACTGGAGGGCTCAACGCTCTCCAGTGCATATATATATATATATATATATATATATATATATATATATATATATATATATATATATATATATATATATATATATATATATATATATATATATATATATATATATATATATAAATCATGCATGCAAATGAGCTGATAATGCAATATTGCAGTGACATCTTGCAATGTTTGTGTCGCTAAACTAACTTTCACAAAGATCAAGTTTAAGTTGCATATTCGCACGCTCTCACACACACACATACACACACACACACACACACACACACACACACACACACACACACACACACACACACACACACACACACACACACACACACACACACACACACACACACACACACACACACAGTGTGTGTGTGTGTGTAGGGGCCTCGTAGCCTGGTGGATAGCGCGCAGGACTCGTAAAGCATTCCCGCACGAGGCAGAAACAAATGGGCACACCCTAAGTGCCCCTGTTACCTAGCAGTAAATAGGTACCTGGGAGTTAGTCATGTCACTGTTGAGCTAAGTAGTTAGTCACTTGGCTGTGAACAATAACTACTCAGTCTCCTGACTGGCTTCCTGAGCACTGTAGTTAGTGAGAAGACGGGTGTGAGCGCTCCTCCTGAGTGCTGCCACACCTGGAGGTTCAGGTGTGGCAGCACACTACCACCACGACACATCTCTCCACTCTACCACCACGACACATCACTGAACATTACCACCACGACACAAGATATCATCAGCGGCATATGCTAGACTGGCCAACATAAGAACTGCCTTTAGAAACTTGTGTAAGGACCAAAGGCGGGACCAAAGAGACAAAGCTCAACCCCCGCAAGCACAATTAGGGGAGTACAATTAGGTGAGTACATATCTGCACTCTACCACCTCACATGCTAAATACCAACATTCACAGCAAACTTGCACCATCAAACACCCATATATACACTCTATACTGCAAATCGTGTCACACTATATCATAAACTATTAAACACCATCCTAGATCATACACCAGCACACAATAAAATACACCAGCGCACAATACTATACACTAGGGCACAAAATACACCGTCGTACACCACCACCGTCCATTTCCATACACACCACGCGATGTTATGCAGCACCATACAGCATTATACACTTCCACAGTACCATTCAACACTATACATCACAGACGACCATACACGAGCAGGCGGCCAGGAACCTTCATCTTTGACCCGCGCTTCATCTGTTTTTGTGCAGGATCAGTGTTGCCATCGGGAAGGTTTTGTTTATATTGTTCTAGCCAAACGTTCGTGTATCCGTTCGAGAATCCGTTCGTGTATGGGAAGTTTTGCGTAATGTGAAATGCTGCTTGTGCATTCATGTTCTTTTCGGTCCTCTGCATTGAGCTGTGAGGAGTTTCGATGCATTGTTTTGAGCTACATATGTGCAAATACATATACACACACACACACACACACACACACACACACACACACACACACACACACACACACACACACACACACACACACACACACACACACACAATAAGAGAGAGAGGCGGGACCAAAGAGCCAGAGCTCAACCCCCGCAAACACAACTAGGTGAGTACAACAAGTTAGGTGAGAAGGTGGTGGAGGCCAAGACCGTCAGTAGTTTCAAAGTGTTATATGACAAAGAGTGCTGGGAAGACGGGACACCACGAGCGTAGCTCTCATCCTGTAACTACACTTAGGTAATTACACCAATTGTCGGTCTCAGCCAATCATCAGCTATCGCGAGGACAGGAATAGGATGAGAGATATAACCAGCGGTATATTTGGCAAGTTAGCAACCCCCCCCCCCCCAAAAAAAAAAAAATCCAATGCACGGCGCTTGAACGATGACGGCTGCATCATTTGTAATCTATAAAAAAACTGGGTACATGGCAGGTACCATGGAAGGCGCCTGAAACGGGTCAAAAGGTCCGTTGGACGTGATATTTGAGACCAAGTCCATTCACAGGATGAGTGGCGCTGCCCAATAAACTCGCCCTTCGGGGCAAAATTTAAAAAAAAAATAGAGGCCAACTCTTCATCTGATCTATTATTATTATTATTATTATTTGCAACTTTATTAATTGAAAAGTAATTATCAAAAAGAAGGCACCAAGAGCCGGGGAGGATATATTGCTAAAAATTAATTACAATTTTGCCTAATCTGAGTAATTCAATTAGGTCATATTAGAGACTAATGCTGGTATTCACTGTCACACAGGACAGAGGGTCATACACAAGACAATAGGTCTAAAAACTGTAGGCACATATGTATATCATAGCTACACTCACCTACATGAGACAGTATATATGTGTGTGCATGAGGAAGCAGAGAGTGTGTGAGTAACCAGAGAGTGTGTATGAGGAAACAGTGAGTGAGAGAGTAAGCAGGGAGTGACAGGGGTCACAGTAACGCACAAGGCTAGGGGTGAAAGCGGTTTGTAAGAAGGAAGTGAATGCGTGTGTCTGGGTGTGTGTATAAATCGCATATGCCAATTCACGGTGGGCACCCTACACCAATTCTTACCAAGAGGTGGGTGTATGGGGCCGCGTGTGTGTGTGGACGACTGCAGGTGTGTGTGTGGTGTTTGTTTACATCACTATCACACTTAATATTTATGTTTGTACAACCTTTTGTCGAATCATTAAGTTAATGGAAGAGTTGTATTTTTATCAAGTATTTGATTTTTAAACCTACTTCAGCACACTGGTGTCGCATTTCCTGTGACGTTTGCAAGTGATTGCAATTATAATACATGTTTGTATTCTCTTTATCCTTCAATATTTTTAGACCTAGTTGATTTTGTGTGAAAAATTGGTCTGAAGAGCTTTATGAAGAATATCTTTAAAAGGCGTAATATTCAACTGTGCTTCAAATTTGCAGAAAAAGTATTGTCCCCTTGATTTACTATTGATGATTTGTCCTTTGTTGCTTAGTATTCATCTTTGTTAAATTGTGTTATTATTGAATTGTGTAGAGACGGAATGCCGTGCAGAATTGTGATAAGATCTGATGCCTTGTATTGTGTATGTGTGTACACACCTTGATGAATTCACCTAAATGTGCTAGTTGAAATTGAAATTGAAATAAGTTGATTGATATATAGCTACACACACAAAGGGATGATGTAGCTCAAGCTATTTTCACCCCTTTCAGTACAACGTGTCCATGTATATATATATATAGACACACATCACATCACACAAACAATAAACATACTACCGAACATTCTGAGTGATAAACATATACATTTCTTCCTTTACACATACAGTATGTTACCAGACGTACACTCAAATACTTTTATGACTTGGTACACAGACAATTTGCAATAGACATTCAGATAAGTCAACAAAGTTACAATCTTGGTGCAAAATTACTATATATCTTTCCCAGAAATGTGCTACTTTAATGTAGCGACAAGTAGTGGAAATATAAGAGTAGTAGTTGAAGTAATATTATTATTAGTAATAGTATTATTTATTGTTCTAAGGGAAACAGCAAGAGGAGGCGGAAGAACTTGAAAATGAGGAGTAAGAAGCGCAAGAGATGAACGAGAAGTAAGAATGGAAACATAAGATGATGGATGGGAAGGAGGAGGAGGAGGAGGAGGAGAAGGAAAAACTTGTCATGAAGGTCAAACCACAAAGTGTGTTTGTAAGCTCAAGGCTAACCTGCCCAAGATCACCTGCGCACTTATCCCCCTCCCTCCCCCCAACCCCCACCCCTAAACTCCAAAGTTGTGGTTAATCCTTCCCACAATACCTGAGGATCACCCCCACCCCCCCCTTCCCCACCTCCTTCCTCCCCTCACATAACTACAGGTCTCCTTGTTACGTGACATTTAAGGTTCTGTCATTAGCACCTGAGGTTCAAGGGGGAGAGAAATAGCCTATAAGCTACTCTATCCCTTTGAGATGTATTTTTTTCTTGTCTCAATAAACATAATTGAACCTAAGATTCACTCGGTAACAACATCTAAAGGTTCCACTAACAACTTTCTTAGGTTGTTTATGATGTGTTGGGCAACATATTTACGCCGTCTCATCTTAAGATCGTTCCATTAAGCAACATCTTAATGTCGTTCTTTCCTGCAGCATCTTAAGGTCGTCCTGTCCCAAGACGTCCCCCGAATGCCTTCAGGTCGTCTTATGCAGCGTTTTCGTGAGGTCATTCAGTAACACGGCATTGCAAGATCGCCTTTGCGCACAACATCTATAGTTCGTTCCGTTCAATTATATCGTTAGACCTACATCCCGTCCTATATGACCGTGAGATCTCACCACATCCTACGAACACTTCTTAACCACATCCTAAGGTTATCCTGTATCACAAAACGTCAGCATCGTCACACCTATAAGCCTAAGACAACCCAGTCCTCAAGTACATAAAACTATCCAGAGCAACTCAGGAATGTTTGAGTTCCAGCTTGAGGAGTTCCAGGTTGAGGAGTTCCAGCTTGAGGAGTTCCAGCTTGAGGAGTTCCAGCTTGAGGAGTTCCAGCTTGAGGAGTTCCAGCTTGAGGAGTTCCAGCTTGAGTCTCACTACGTGGCATCCATTTAAGCGATGGATTTGCATATCCACCCCTAGATACAAGTCTTGCCTTTACCCTC